ATTTTAAGTATAAGTTAATTTTATTACATGCTATATTCAAAAATCTTATCACCAAAAATGAAAAAAACAAACTTGGAACTTTAAAAATATTTTTATACAGTGATCTGACTAAAAAATAGAGCGAAACTAGAAAAATTAAAGAAAATTAATACATTGCATTGATCTTCACGATCAAAAGAGGTTAGGTTACACAAATTATTGCATCGAACTTTATTGAAATGGGAAGACTAAGAGAAAACAAGGAATCTTAGCGAGGAATACAAAGCATTAACGCAATCTTTCACTCGGTGAGAGGAAGTAACACAAGAATCAATGCGTTACTTATCCGTTAGGCGCATTTCGGCGGTTATATCAGATGTAGACTTATCGTGAGTATCTCGCGGAACTTGAACCTGCGTAATAATGCTCTATTGGCTCGTTCTAAAGAATTACACGACCTCTGTGGTATAATACGCGATACAATGTGGGTCCTCGAACCTATGTAAATGGATGAAACGTGTATGACCTAAACGTTGACTCTTTCCATTATTTTGCAATAAGTCTGGATAGGCGAGAAGTTTTCTGGTTGTCGAGATTCGAAGTTGAAAATCGACTAAGATCGACTGGGACTCGTTTCGTCGTGTTAAATAAGATCGAACGTGTAATATTTTGTACAGTTCAAAAATTTCATCGAGTAAAATACAGTGCTCCCTTCAACAACGCGGGGGGTTAGGGACGCCGACTGACCGCGTAGATGGAAATATGCGTGGGGGGGGCTCGGCGCTTTCGTAGAAATCTGAAGAACATTTATATTCTTCCAATGCATGTGTATGTATTTACACGCATACACGCACATATTATGTAATTACATAAATGTAGCTCCTTCTAGCTCAGCGTTATATTGGTATTTGATTTTTCTCCCAAATTCGGCTGTTTGTAATGTATTTAAATTCGGTGCCACTGCTTCTTGTATGCATCCGCATTTTGTGAGGAATTAGTTCACGCGAACGAATTTGCATTCGCTCTTTCTCTCTTATTCCCCATGATAAAGAAAATTGTAACTGTATGCTAAATGTATAAATTGATTCGAAATGAACGTCGAAATTTTCAAAAAAGAAAAAAACGCGTATAAGTGAAACCCCGTTGTTCGAGGGAGCACTGTATAGGTATATTACGCATGAAATTCGATCAGTCAAATGAAATAACTGAAAATTTAATTCAAGTGAAATTTAATTTATCGGTCTGAGTCGATTCGACTATTATAATTCGAAATTCGAATGAAGTGAAATTAAATAATTCGAAATTTGAACATTTAAAATTCGAGGGAATTTTAATTAATTTTCTGCGGTTCAAGTTGAATACGTTTTTACTCCCATAACTGTTTCTGATTATGTCGTTCAAATTTCACGATCGATAAGGAAGAAGGTAATAAAATTCTCGGAATTACTTCGAAAAAGTTTATCTTCGATTTCGATCGTTCTCAGTCGAGCAACTTTGTTTCCCAATTGACTTCGTTATATCTTTGTCATTGCACCCGAAAAAAGTCTGAAGTTCATAAAAATTCCACGAAGAAATTGTGCACGTCGCCCTCGACATCGATCCCACCCACTCGCTAGAGAGAAAGAACAATTTCATCGATAACCTTCCCGAGAACAACCCCAACCACTGACGTCATTCATTTTTGAAACATAATGCAAGCCTCGTGAATTGCATGTTCCTTTTTCGAAAATCGCGTGAAATTCTTTCTGTTCCAATAAAAATTTCATTAAGCACCCCTCAGAAATACGTTCTACTCATTCACACGTGTGTTTGCCTCTTTCGTTAATCTGCGAATTTTTCACACGCCCAGTATGTAAATAATTATGTCATTTTATGATTATCGCGGTTACACAATTTTCTTGACCTTTCAAAAAAATCACAACTTTTCAGTGAAACTTTTGAAAACGAAAAATTTTCTTTTGAAGAAATGAAAAAAAATTATAAATGCTTATGAATTTACTTTAATTTCTTTTGTTAATTTGCTTTGTTTTCACATAAATCAAACTGGAACGAAATTATGGTAAAAACACAGAGATAACATTAAAAATTATATTCCAGAAAGGATTTCGATTCCTTCAAAAATAATTTTCCAACATCAAACCGTTCCGTACTTCCCGTGTTCACCATTACTATGCATTATTACATTTAATGTTCCTAAGAAAGATCGTAACTCTTCTGCCGAATCTACCAAATAAATCAGTCTAACCCGAAATTCCTGTTAACTAGATCAGAAAAGATCGAATAAGGACGCTGCGGACATTCTTCCCTTGAAAAATCACATTTATAGATGCCCAAGAGGAATCACTGAAAAAATCACGAGTCGAAAAATTAAGTTTCACTCATCAACGTCACTCTATGTCTTTTTCGTCGTTATTAGTTTCATGAATGTTTAACGGAGGTGGTGGCACAGTTTCGACGTTCACGCGGTACGAAATCGTCGGATTCCGAGACCTGGTGAACCGTTCACAGGGCCAGGAGACAGAGAGAGATCTTTCGACAATCGATGGAGATTTTAGAAGTAACATTTAAAGCGATTTTCCGAGGGGATCTTTTAATGGGACCGGGCGCCGACTAATTTGATTCGGCCACTCGGCAATTCTGACGCTCGCCTCAATAATTCAGCCGGCTTACGTGTATTCTTGGAACCGGGATAGATGGGTATCCGTGATAAAATATAATTCGAGAGGTGCTGTGTGTCGTGTACGCGTATCAATTCTGGATTAGGGGGAAGAGTTCAGTTTGAAAGTCTCAAAAAATTGATTTTTTTTTTTTTTTTGCACGAATTGAAAGTACATCTGAAAAATGTGGTCCTAAGACTTGAAACGACTTCACAATATTTTTGTGCGCTAATTTAACTTTCAACTAAATGTTACGATGAAAATTATAATGAAAAAAAAAGTACTTCCCTTTATTTGATCAATGTAAGGAAACACAAGAACAAAGAATGAAATAACGATGCAGAATAAATTTTTTGAGGGAATACTTAAATTTCTCAACCCAAAACATTGAGATCTACTTTACCATTAGTGAAATTACAGATCTTTGCTGATTAAAGTTAGATAGTAACCGGCGACAGAATTTGACGCACTTTTAAAATGAGTGTTGCACCGGCGCAACACTC